GCGCCTGCGCAGCAGGCCACCCTCCGCTTCCCCCTCCCCCTCCCCCTTCCTCCCTCCCTCCCTTTCCCCTAGCCCCTTCCCCCACTACCCCCTCCCCCAATTCTCAATCCCCTTCCCTCCTGGTCTCGGAGGACCCCTTCCTAGCCCGACCTGTCTCGGCCGGCAACCTTCGCGAAGCCATCGGTGCCACTCTCCGCCCATGTGGGACCCTGCGGGCTGCCCACGCCTGTCCCCCAGCTCCCGGTTCTGCTGGGCTTTCCCCTCGTCGGGGGTGGCTTTTTGAGCCGCCCGCTCCGTGCCCCTCTCTGCAGCCTCTCCTGCCACCCGGGGCCCCCGTTCCCCCTCCCGGCGGCGGGGGGCTGCCCCCGGGGGGCTGGCGGAGCTGGGCCGCGGGGGCCCCGGGGCCGGCGGTGCCGGGGTCATCGGGATGATGCGGACGCAGTGTCTGCTGGGGCTGCGCACGTTCGTGGCCTTCGCCGCCAAGCTCTGGAGCTTCTTCATTTACCTTTTGCGGAGGCAAATCCGCACGGTGAGCTTGGGTGGGCGCTGGTGGTGGTGGTGGGCTCTGTCAGCGGTGCTCACGGATTTTCGAAAAGTGTCGGGCTTCTGTTTAGGCTTAGGAGTGGAGTCCTGGAGGCGGCTTCTCCCGTTAGACAATTAGGGTGCCCTTAACTGGGCATAGGGTGAGATGGGGAAGAGGGAGATTCTTGGGGGTAGAACCGACATCGGGGGGCCTAGTCGGAGACAGGATTTGGCAACTCTTGAGGGCTAGGGTGGTGGGTGGGGCTCCCTTTAAGAAAGCTAGAGTTGTTGCTAAAGAAACCGACAGGCGGGGAACACCTGTCTGATGGCAGCAGATATGTCGATGTGGGCTTGTGAAAGACCCTCCTGTTACTAGGAACATCTGTGTGTGTTTGGTCTTAGAACAAGGAAGAGACAGGCTTATGTATCAAGGGTGGGAGCGGATGGGAGGGCATTATGTGACAAACAAGGATGGGACTTGGGAAAAGCCCTGGGTGTGAAGGAAAAACCCCTGCCGTTCACATTAAGGGAATTCTCTAAAAAGGCCCTGAAAACTTATTTCAGTGTGAGTGTAGGTATCTGGAGTTGTTGAGACCCAGAGACTAAGAAAGATGTTTTTGTTTGGGTTCCTTAAGTTGTGGAAGGGAGCCTATTCAAATTTGGGTTCCCTTTCAGGAGATGGTGCTTGTCAGTTGTAGGCTTGAATCTGAGGATACAGTTGTTTCTTCAGGAGACCTTAGCATTGTGAGAGAGTGATACTGTGGGCAGTGGATTATGTGCATATACCCAAGTATCTCTGGGTACCTCCCTTCACAGTTTTTCTTCAGGGTCAACTTTAGGCTAGCATCATTTAATGAATATGTGTTCATCATCACTGGGGAGAATCCTCTGAAGGAGTCTGGGGAGAATTCGGTGAACTGGTGTGCAGAGGTTCTTCATTTTGTACTCTTTGGCACATTTCAGTAAAACTTGAAAGAAGACCAGGCAGGGGTTGCCCAGGTCAAGGAATTTCCAGAATGCCCCGGGTGGTAGTAGTGGTTGACTTACTGATTTGGGGGAATGGGCCTGGCCTTGGATTCAGGGTCTCCTTTACCAGTCTGTTCCTTCCATTTACTGATTTTGGGTGGTAATTGTTTCTGGGTGGTCATGGTTGTAGGCAGGACTATTTCCCTGACACAAGAGTTGGGAGCCAAGAATAATTTGGGGTCAGAGATGCTGAGAAGTGTGGGGCTAGTTCTCCTTGGGTTTTCTTTACATGTTACCTGCAGTCCTCTCTGCCTGGCCTTGCTCTGAACATCCCCCTTTCATTCCTTAACATACCAGCTTTCTGTTCTGGGTATAGGAAGTACTGCTGTGGCCCATTCAGAAGCTAATTACTTGCAAAATTACTCTCCTCTGGCAGCACTGACCTCACAGCCTTTTGTCTTCCCTTCCTTCACTTCCAATTTGGTCTCTTCCCTACCCCCTTTCTGGCAGATGCTTGGAGCATTCCCTGCATGCCCAGCATGTGCAACCCGAGATAGCAGGGCAGGACACCCGAGCTGTTACAGCCCTCATCATGGGCCAGGGAGAAAAGAAGGGCAGATGCTTTGGGATTAGAGGGAGAAGAGGGTCCTTTGGTTTGCAAGGGTGGAGCCTGGTTTGGTGAGGCTCAGGGCCTAGGGATGAACTGAAGAGCATTTGTCTATGCTTAGAAGAGCAGAGCAGAGCAGAGAAGGGAATTGCCAGGCTTTGCATGGGAGAGAGATGAATGCTAAGCAATAGGAGCCTCTAGAGATGGCTGGGAAAGCTGGAAAGTTGAGGTGGGGATGTCCTTGTCCCCTCCTCACCTCTCTCTCATAGCCCTTACTTCACTTGGGCCTCTGGATAGCCTATCATTTTGCCTGGTGGGTGGGACTTTCCAGTGTTCTCTGCCTTGCCCTGGGTACCAGGATAAGGAGGCTGCTCAGAGGGCTAAGGTTCTCTGCAGCTTGTGACTTGGCTAGTAGAGACAGAAGTGGACAGGTGGCTGGTTAAAATAGGCCTGCTGGCCCCTAGCCAGGGGAACTTAGTTGACCTGACAACCCCTGGATTCCCTCCTCTGTTCCCCTTAGGGACCCAAGGATCTCCCCTCCTGACTCCTACTTCCTGTCCACTAAGGAATCTGAGGCTTTCAGTTCCTAACAGGAGGTGATGGGAGCTGTCACAAAGAATCCTTGGGATGGAGGTGGGGAGGGCTGTGCATTTCTTTGTGCAGTATAGCAGAAGAATAAATATTGGTTAAGAGGGCAGGTTCTTAGGTTGGACTACATGGGTACAATCATGGCTCCCTCACTTAATCGATTCTAATATTAACTGACCATCCTGCTACTGTGTTCTAGGAATACGGTCTTGATGGAGACAAAAATCTATGTTCTCCTTGAGTTTTCATTCTAACTGGGGGGGGACAGACAACTAAATAAGATAATTCCTAGCAGTGTGGTCTTAGGCAAGGTGTTACATCTCTCCAAGCCTCAGTTTCTTTGTTCTTAAAACAATATTAGAGTTGTTTGAGGATTAAGTGAAATAACCTTAAATCACACCATGTCCAGCATATGGTAAATGTTCAGTATGTGCTATGTATTAGCACATGTTGGGAAAGATTTCCTTGTCAAGGATTCTGATCTTTTGTCTTGCTATTCTTAGGTAATTCAGTACCAAACTGTTCGATATGATATTCTTCCCTTATCTCCCGTGTCCCGGAATCGGCTAAGTGAGTATGCTGGCTGGGAGGACTCCTTTAAGGTGAGGTAAGGGTTGGGTCTGGGCTGGAGGTTGATTGGTGTTATACCTTCCCCATGTGCTTCAGGCCAGGTGAAGAGGAAGATCCTGGTGCTGGATCTGGATGAAACGCTTATTCACTCCCATCATGATGGGGTCCTGAGGCCCACGGTCCGGCCTGGAACACCTCCTGACTTCATCCTCAAGGTGTGTCGGGGTGGGAAGTGATGGAATGGTTTTGTCTGCTGTTCTGCTCAGACCTGTACTGCCTCTCCCACTCCCACTCCCAGAGCTTCTGGTCCCTACCCCCGTGCCTTGGTATGAGCAGCTGTCTGAAGATGGAAGCAGGCAGTAGGAGGGTGGAGGTGTCCTTCATGCCTGTGCTGTGGTGCTGAGGACTTCCCCCAGCCCTTCCCTGTTCCTCTGTAGGTGGTAATAGACAAACATCCCGTCCGGTTTTTTGTACACAAGAGGCCCCACGTGGATTTCTTCTTAGAAGTGGTGAGTTTGTGGAAGCCAAAGGGAGCTCTGTGCTGAAGGATTGGTTTTAGGGCTCTAGGAATTTAGAGGATTTGGAGAAAGTAAGGAGGGAGGAGCAGTGGGTAAGGGGAGTTTCGGAGAGGGGAGGTTGTGGGATGGTTGGAGAGTAGCTTTTAGTAGTTTGGTTCTTTTGTTGTGCTGATGTAATTTTATTCTTCCTGCTCATTTGTTCTTGCATCTCCGAATCTTAAGGGTGTATGGTGCTTGAAACTCTGAGTTTGAAGGTTTGGGGGCATTCAGAATTTTGTGTCCCCAGAGACATTTGATGTTGCTATAAAGCCTAAAGGACTAGGTTGGAGTCCTAGTGAAAGAAAACTGTGTCTAAATGAATGGTCACCTCTTTTGACACCTCCCTCTCCCATGATCTGTTTCAGGTAAGCCAGTGGTACGAGCTAGTGGTGTTCACAGCAAGCATGGAGATTTATGGCTCTGCTGTGGCAGATAAACTGGACAATAGCAGAAGCATTCTCAAGAGGAGATACTACAGACAGGTAAAGGGCTAGAATGCAGGTCTAAGAGTGAGGCTCGGGAGGCAGACCACCAGGGAGGGGTCTGAGTTGGAGGTAATTTCCCTGGAATCGGACCTTGAGGGGGATGTGGGTGTCATACTACATAATCCCCTTTGTGGGAGCTGTTGCCCAAGGCCATGTTGGGGTTGGGGGAGCTGTCACAGAGGGCGAGTCTCCTTTTGATGCCTAGCTCACCCTGCCTTCCAGCACTGCACTTTGGAATTGGGCAGCTACATCAAGGACCTCTCTGTGGTCCATAGTGACCTCTCCAGCATTGTGATCCTGGATAACTCCCCAGGAGCTTACAGGAGCCATCCAGGTATGGGGGAAGGTGGTGAGTCTGGCAAGACCAGGAAGTG